TCTTTAATTTGAAGAACTATGAATGCCGGCCAGGCAGCCTCTAAGATATATGTAAATAGAAAGAGATCAAGTATATGCAATTTAGTTATTTACCGACGTGTAGTACAATTACAGTATGTAACTTACCCACCTTGATCTTCACTTCCAAGAAGTACTAACTGTGAAAACCTTGAAATCACCATGGAAATTTTATTTTAATTTAAAACGTAAAGTTACAGCATAATTAGTAATATATTCTAATTATTTTTTTAAGCTTTCGAATATCCCCTCTTTTTCAACATTTTGGAACTTAAAATACTTGTACTAATATAAATAAAAACTTTATATGAATATGATTATATAGTTTGTTTTTTATATAAAGATATGGAATCATAAATTATTATATTCTTATTTTCCATAGGATCATTCAAATAATAATCTGTATATATTTACCATGTGTATATAATCTTTCTCCATTTTTACCCCTTTGTATATTTCCCACTTTCATAGGTTTCTCCGTCTTGTAACCCCAAGGAGAATCCTCTATAAGACCTGTGTGTCTTAATAAAGGTTTTGTGTTTTTTTGTGTTTGTGAATTATAGATTATTAAATAGAAATACTAGGAGCGCCATCTATATCTAAAATTAGGAACTATTTAGAGCGATATTTTTATAGAGGACTAGACGGGTGACCCGGGCTTCGCCCCGGGATTGACCCGTGTGCATATCTACCCGAGTGATATATATTTAGATAAGATTTTTTTATAATTGTTTGTTATTAGCATTATCTATTTGTTTGCATCAGCATAATTTAATCTAATCTTTGATAGAGGGCGCTGTTCGTGAGCTAAGTAGAATAATTTGAATATATAGTTTTAATAATTGATTTATATATTTTTTAAAATAGCCTATCGTCTTGCCCGTATTTTTTTTACCTATGTATGGAAATTTTGGTTTGAATTAGTGAACTACTGCGAATTTGTATACCGGACATACAAACAAACAAACATACAAACATTGATTTTTATATATATAGATGTGTGGAAACATTCAACGCTATTGCCTTTTTCAATATAAAAGAGAATTTGTACAAATATTAAACTGAATATGTAAAAAAGAATTAAGAAAGCTTTCGGATATTATTAACCCTTCTACAGGAGTATATGATAAAATGAATTTCAATCTTTGATTATTGTCTATTTTTAATAATCAACGATTATTTTATATTTATTCCGATAGATGGTGCAAACCATCAACAACTTTTCAGTTAAACGATCAGATAATTTATTTTTTTTTGCTTATTCCTAGTACACGTGGTACAGGCCATGATAATCATGGTGGGTAGTTAGCGACTGCTTTTTACTGTAAGCCCACCACATGTCTATACATGTGAAAAGCATTCGACTTTGCACTTACAAATGTGCCAGAGCCCCGTTTGGTTACTTGCACTCGCTGGTGGGGTTGGACTTTTGCAAGAATTGGGGGGCCATTGAAGCATTTTTTTTTTAAACAGAAAAAAGTGTCCAATGCGGGAATCGAACCCGAGTCGTAGTGGTCGAAAACCAACCGGTTTAACCAGCCTTCCACCGACCCACCCATCAGATAATATGATTCTTTTAAATTATTTTTTTTTTCCACCTGTTCCTTATAATTTCTATATAAATAAGACGAAATCATGCATATAATATTTGGTTGTTTTTACTTAGAGAAACAGAGAAGGGGAATTCTTGGGTGATTTATCCTTGTCTCAATCCGATAGTCAACAAATATATAACTGGATGAATGCAATGATGTTTGATCAAGGTCTTTGGTTTATATAAATTCTACAAGACTGAGTGTCAACGTTCGGAGGAGATTAATAGAATCGCCGAAAGTCGTGGTCCATTTGGATGAGAAAAGCGAAGACATATCATAAAATGCAAATATTTAGGTGAAGAAAGATTTTAAAAAACTCTTTAAAACACCTTCTAGAGATTTAGCAACCCACTGAAGACGCTTAGAACTATTTCAGAAAAGAAAAATATAGCAATAGAACTCTATAATTTCTACAGATCAATTGTAAATAGATTGACACACAAAAGAGGTAGTCAGGAAAGTTTTAGAACAGATATGTAAATAAATCCCTTTTCAAACAAAGGCTCACGTGCACATGGGGAAAGGGAGGAAAAATTACTGTGTTATTTTGTTGTTGTATGGCGAATCCATAGAGGGCAATGGACCCTAATAAAAGCCTTTTTATTGTTGTTGTTGTTGTTGAGTAAAGCAAATATTAGAACGCGGCTGATTCCACACTCGTCTTTTCAGTGATATGCTAACCATGACGTATGCACGAAGGAACGTGTGGCCACTAGATATGAGGTCGGAGCTGGAGGCTGTTGTTGGGTTCTGTGCTGTAAGGAGTATAGGAACTCCATCTATGCTTCCTTTCTTCCTGTGGTGAATCTGTATAAGACCGATGGTTTTAATTAATCTGTGTATATAATTTCTTTTTTTGTACTAAAAAATGAAGAGTTACAAACTAAATATAGCTCGTGTATATACTGTAGATGGACACACATGGGGTAACGGCGATGTATGTGACAGCTGGTGTCAGCCCTGGATATAGTCTCCGTCATGGTGGGGCTCACCGATCTCTACAAATACACCTCTACAGTACAAAGGAGTACAAAGGGTATGGTGTACGTAGATGCTACCAGTAAGTATAGCTCTACAACATCTCTACAACACATTTGTTCTTATTGTAAAAGATTGGTAATATGTTTGACTCATCAAGGGTGAACCATCCCAGCGGTTTCGGCATTTTAATCTACCATAAAACGTAATAATTATTAAGAAAAAAAGACATCTCCTGATCGTGCAACCAAAGGTTGCTGATGGCTTGCGCCATCTATCGGAATAATAACAACTAATCGTTGATTTTTTTTATTATTCCATAATTGGCCAAATACCGTTTTTGGATTAATCAAGAAAAGCTAACGGCGTTTCGAGCTGTTGGCCTTTGTCAGGGTGATGCAAGCTGTACATCAACGACCGAAAAAACTGGTATTTGGAGCATCTTGAAAAACCATGAAACTTGTATTTGGAACGGAAATAGTAATTAATATCTAGTGTGTATTTAAAACTATTATTATTATTATTATCCCTAGCACACGTGTGTTGGCTTCCGTAGGCGTCTCTTACTAGGAAAAAGAAAGAAGGGATTCCATTTAGTTATAAACTAATACATGCATTTATTTAAGTAGCGACCCGCTCCAACACAATAGTTACAAAAGAAGCAAGCGAGTGGGGGGGAACACAAAAAAAACAAAGTCCGCAGCGTAGTGGTGGCGTGACGTCAGCGTCGGTGTATCCCCTTTTTTCTGGGGAGCTCGGCTTCCATATTCTGTTTATTATATTCCGTTTGTCTGCGTCTCTCTGGTCGGGATGGCGCCTACACATGGTACAGGCCATGAAAATCATTGTGGATAGAAGTTGGCGACTGCTTTTACTGTAAGTACACCACATGTCTACACATGTGGAAAGTAGATCGACCCTTGCACTTACAAATATGCCAGAGCCCCGTTTGGTTACTTGCACTTACTGGTAGGGTTGGACTTTTTCAGAAATCGAAGGCCATTTTAATTTCATTCTTGTAATGAAGAAGGACACTCTCTTATCCTTGGGGGAAGAAATCGCTCTAAAAGCCCAAAGAACCAAATATATTTAGTCAACAGCATAGACAGAAGAAATCACTGACAAACCACTTCTGTATCAAACCCTGCTGAGAATACTATATAAACAGATAAATTGGAGAATATTTGTCCATATGGTTATCAAAAGTCGAACTCAATTTGAAATACACTAACAACAAATGTTTCTGATATTAAAATTACAAATATATTCTCACAATGAGTATCTTTTTTATTTAAAACAACGCGAACTTTCAAGCGTTAATCGCTCTTTAACAGGTTTACTATAATATCGACTTTATCCCACCAGAAGTATTTACAAGTATTAACGCTTGAAAGCTAGCGTTTTTTAAATAAAAAAAGATACTCATTGTGAGAATATATTTGTAATTTTAATACTTTTTTTTCACAATTTTATCATGAATGAATGTTCTGGTAGATTAAACTGGCGAAACTGCAGCGAGGGTTCTCCACTGATGAATCAGACCCTTCTAATATGGCGTGAGTTAGTTACTAAACGTTTTTACTGTTTTTGTTGAAAAAATAGTCAGAAAAGTAAAATCCTTATCAATATTTATAAAATAATACACCAATACCTCGCTTTTGCGTCGTTTCGTTTTGCGTTTTTTCGTAATTGCGTTGTTTTGGATTCGAGTCTTTAATTTCTTTTTTTGATTTTTTTTCCTAAAATATGGCAACACCTTTGTTTTTGATTGCGCCATGCCATCGAAAGTTTATTTTCACTTTGCGTCGTTTCAATTTGCGTCGTGTTTTTTTTTTTTTTTGGAACGTAACCCCGACGCAAAGCGAGGTAGGGGTGAAATTAAAACAGCTTCCAAGGGAGAATTTCTCGCTTTATTTACATATTCTGCTCAAGCTTTCGGGTTTTACAAACCATCCTTCTACAGGGGTATATGATCAAATTAATCTTAAATAAGAAAAACTTCGGACATAAAAAGATCTTATAATATATTTACTGACCGAATTGTCTTTTATTCAGGAAATATAAATACCGGCCAGAGACAACCTCTATCTTGTCACGTGGAAAATCAGGAAAGACAAACTTCAAAATGACGCAGCAATTTATTTATGGCCTTAGCACCAATTAAAATTGATACAAGTGAAGTAATGAAGGAAAGGGAAAGAGTTTACGTAAAGTAATAAAATATATAAACATCAAAATTAATATTCTGTTAATAAAATAATGAATACTTTGTTATATATACTATATGCAATATATTTAAATATATTTGAATGAAATTCTACTGTCCTATAAGCTTATGTCCATAGTTTTCTTGAAAACCATTTCTGAGATTCCATCCTTCAGTGCTGCGTATATAAGCAGAATCGTCCAATACAGTATTAGATCTCTAAGAAGCGGTCTGGTGGATTAAATTGGCGAAACCGCTGGGAGGGTTCACCACTGATGAGCCAAGCCCTCCCAATATATTTTTTCATCGCAGTAAGGGCAGTAGAAGTTTGTATTATGTATAAAAGAAACATTCGTGCTTTTAAATCCTTTCATTTTATATTTAAATATATATATATATATATATTACTTATCATTTTAGTCTAAATTAGACAAGATCTTAGAGGTCGTGCTCATAAAGAAGTTCAAGAACTCTTCTTGGTTCTCTGTACAGAGATCCTTTGTCCTTTCCAATACAATTTAGTATATGTTGGGGAGTAGCCTCTTCGGTTTTGCACCTAGTGCACATGGGGAAGTTTTTGACTCCCTCTTTATAGACTAGAGGGCGCAGAAATAAAAATATAAACAGTAGCGTTTCTTTATTCGTGCAAAGTACAAGCTTTCGGATCTTTATAATCCTTCCATAGACATAGCTGTAGGTTGAAAGAATGAAGAGATGTGTAAATATACAATATTATTTACATATATAATTAATTGTTTTCTTTTCATATTTACATATATTCTATATATAGTATATTTTTATATTATATTGTGGTGGTTCGTCTGGTTTTGAAGAAATGATTCAATTATTCATTCCATTTTAATTAACTACAGATATAATATAAAAATAAATATCAATGTTAATTATTAGTGATTATTAACGTTACAAATTTAAATCTAGTAAAGAAGAGTTTTAAAAGGTTTGATGAAAATGGGAGGATGAAAATGGCCGTTCTCTGGTGGAGGCGTCAAAACAATGGTTTCCTCCCCCGTGCTTACCACGTCACTACCGCCGCGCATGCGCCGACTTAGCGTACCCGGCCGCCGAGGTGGTGGCGGTTGAAAGGGCTGTTCAAAATGGGTCAAAACACCGTCACAATATATACATACTAGACGGGTGACCCGGGATTGACCCGTGTGCATATCTACCCGAGTGATATATATTTAGATAAGATTTTTTTTTTATAATTGTTTGTTATTAGCATTATCTATTTGTTTGCATCAGCATAATTTAGTCTAATCTTTGATAGAGGGCACTGTTCGTGAGCTAAGTAGACTAATTTGAATATATAGTTTTAATAATTGATTTATATATTTTTTAAAATAGCCTATCGTCTTCCCCGTATTTTTTTTTTTTTTACCTATGTATGGAAATTTTGGTTTGAATTAGTGAACTACTGCGAATTTGTATACCGGACATACGAACAAACAAACATACAAACATTCATTTATATATATAGATATACATATTATATAATCTAAAAATTCGAATATTTCTATATTTTTAAAAAATATATATTTTATTTTATTCATTGATAATTTTACTTTTGTTATCATCGTTTTTAGAAAGACTTCCAGTTTTTTTTTTTTTTTGCTTATTCCTAGTACACGTGGTACAGGCCATGATAATCATGGTGGGTAGTTAGCGACTGCTTTTTTACTGTAAGCGCACAACATGTCTACACATGTGAAAGCAGTTCGACTTTGCACTTACAAATATGCCAGAGCCCCGTTTGATTACTTGCACT